GGCCGGGACTGCGCCGCCTCCGCTCCTGCTCCTCGCAGCCCCAAGGGGAGCGGCCGCACCGGCTCTTTTGTGTGACTGCTCCGGAGCCGAGCCACACACGGAGACTGCTAATGAGCCCGGGAAGCTGAGTAGCAGCAGACACCGCCCCCTCCCCCCCTGCCCCGCACGCTGCATGGCGCAGAACCAAACCGTGCAGGCGTCCGAGCACCCCCGCCTGGGGGCTGGGCTTCAGCACGAGCGACGCGGCCCCCGCACCCAGCCCCGCTCGTTAACACGATCGCCCTCCCCCTAGTCCCGGCAGCGGATAAAGAACGAGGCAGACAGGACTTTCCTAAGAACCTTGCCCGGGTTTTCTCTGCCTAACTGGGCAGGAGAGCTGGGTCGAAATTCCGTGTGTTGCCCTTCCGTCCCCTTCGCGATAAAGTGGGGGGGTGTTTGGTCCTGGGGGGTGGTACAGAGTCGCCTCTGCTACAAAGATACCCCATCTGTAGCTGGGCAAAACAAAATTCCCTTCCAAATATTTAACTTGAGATGCTACAGGTACAATCCATGGCATGTGGATATGCTGAAGAGATATTTGCTTTGTATGGGAGACAAAGAACTCGAAAATGGGTGGAAGAATCAACTGGATAATTTGCTTTAAAATACCAAGAATTTTGATACATTATTCAAGACATTTTGTGTGAGCTCTAATCCCACACTCCCCCCTTCCCCCAGGTCACACCTGCCTACAAGTGGTAAAGTCTGAGAGCTTCACTTCATCTGCCAATAAGTTTTCTTTGTCCGGCTTCAAAACAAATCAGACATACCATGCATTTTATATTTTAAAAAAATCAGAAGATCGCCAATTGGCAAAGCAGGGACTATTGTAAGCTTGAGAGTAAAGCACTATTCTTAGTCCATGTCTGGTTCTTTGGGACCACTTCTAGGTTCTGCTCTAGTGCTTTATAGTACAACTATAGGATGGCCCTATGTCTGGTTTTTGACCAGAAAGTCCAATCAAAAAGAGAACCTGAACAGTGTCTGATCAGCACTGCTCTCTGAACATTGAAAGTCTGAAAACAACTAACCCCAGTCAGCCTCCCCATCAAGAGAGTGAGTGGTAAGACCAGCAGCTGCTCAGCAGCCAGGGAGAGCCTCAGCAGCAGCTGCAGTGGTGCTACAAGCAGAGCAGGCAAGGGGGAGGTCAAGCTCTAAGCATGACTGAGAGGCCATTGGAAGGAAGGATGCACCCCCGCTACCTCTAGGGAACAAAGAGCTTCACTTCAGCTACTAATAAGATATCGAGGCAGGAGCCATTTGGAGTGCAGCCCTTGGCTCTGCTTTGCTTGACTTCTGATGCAGCAGAGAGGCCTGGATTCAGCACAGAGCCACTTGCCCTGAAGGCCGGCTGCCAATTCTGGACCCATGCACAGTGTGATCATTGCCCAGCTAGGAGCTGGATTGGTCCCTAGGAATTCAGGTGCCTGCTCGCTCTGAGTGGCAGAAGTTGGCAGGCTCTGGTACATTGTAGCCAGCCTGCCCCAGCTGTAGCTGAGGTAGTCCAAGAGCCCAATATTTCCTCACCATCAGACACAGAGGAACCTGGAGCAGAGGATAGTGAAACCCCTCAGAAGAAGTAGGGAGAGCCCAGAAGCAATATTTCCATGTAAGTTTTCTGGATCCAGCCAGGGTGAACAGGTCACAGCTTGAGGGGGGCTACAAATAATGGGCCAAGTTCCCCATGTGAAAGTGAATAGTTCCCTGCTCTCAGTTCAAGGGCCCAGATGACCAGGGAGTACCTGGGCATATTCAAGACTGTGCCTTGCCATGGTGGTGGAGAATGGAGGAGCTGGGGGTCAGGACTCCTGGGTTCTCTCCCTGGCTCTGGGAGGGGAAGAGAGGTTAGAGCAAAGTGGGGCTGGAATCCCGGACTCTTGGGTTCTGTTCCCCCCAGCTCCTCCACAGACTTGTGAGACTTGAGTGAGTGGCTTATGGATCGTGCTTCCCCACCCTCTCAGGTAACCCTCAGGAGGATGGGGAGAGTTCAATGGGCCCCAGACTGGGCACAGGGCAGGGTGGGAGAGAGGAGTGAATAGAGGGCAGATCCTCAGAAGAAGGGGTGGAGAAGAAGTATCCACTTTTCAAAAATTGGCAACCCTATACAACTACTTAAGAATTACCTCATGTAAAGTAACTTGCTAGGATGAACAGTTACAGAAGAACAGATCTAAACTACACAGCCCAAATAAGGAGCATGACACGCTCATGGTACCAGAATGCCTGTACCCTACAACTATTCACAGTTGCTACAACTCCTCCCAACAGGGGAAGATGACCATTTTGCAGGGCCCAGGGCAGCACAATTTTGCGGGAGCCACCCTTTGCCATGGCACATGGCGCTGTGACGTAGTGAGGGTACCTGGCTGGTTTCTATGCTGCTGGCTCTGGGGTAACCCCCACTGGCTGGCGGGGGGACCCCGACCCAGCAAAACAGGACGAGTCACTATGCAAACCAGTATGGCCAGACACCCCCCCTGGAGCGGAACGGGGGCAGAGCTGGAAGAGGGTTAGTTAGTTGCTCTCTGGGAGCATGGAGGAGACAGCCTAGGGAAAGGGGCTGGAGTTTAGGGGCCCAGTCTCCCCCATCTCAAGGGGGCCTGAGGCATCCTAGCCCAGCTCTGTGACCAGATTACATCTGTGCTGTGCTGTATCCTGGAGAGGCAATAAACAACCTCCATTACACCAGCTGGTGCAGTCTGTTTGTGCCATTTCGGGGTGCAGGAGACGGGGGACCAACTCGCTGTCACAGGCGCTCCTTGAAGTGCGGGGCCCGGGGCGGCCACCCCACTCGCCCTGCCCTATATCCGCCCCTGCCTCCCAATGAGCTGTTGCAGCAAAGTAAGTTAGAGCAACCTATGGAGTTCTCAAGCTTCTGTGAGGGAACAGACTAGATCCTACTTAGGTCCAGATAGCATGTAAGTGCCTTTCTGCACCTATTTCTCCCTCCCACCACCAGCTGCCAAATTCAGTTCATTCAAGGCACAGAATTAATTTTTTCCCTCTGTTCAACATCACTTTCACAGCTGTAATATCTGTGCCTATGGCACCCTGAGCACCCAACACTCAAAGTGGCAGGTTTTAATGTTGCCTACTCTTCCCCACCACTGATCTATGCATTTCAATTAGAAGTTCAATCATTAATCCCCCTCAACTCCTATCCAGTGATCCCTAGAGTCTATTAAAAAGTCTACATCTCTGTATTAGAAAGCCATGTTGAACTTAAAAACTCCACAAGACACCATCTGGGGATCCTCCTTTGTAACACATGTATTACTCAATCAGTAATTCATAGTTTGAATACTATAGTCCAGGGCCACCAATAGACTGCCCCTTTCTCTAGCAGTGGAAAAGGGAGGGCAAGAAGGGAACTGACATTTCCTTCATTAGCAGTAGCTGGCAGCACCACTAAATTGGGCAACCTATGTTTTAAAGGAAATATACTAAACAAGGCTTATTTTTAAGAGACAACATGCCTCACAATGCTTTATTCACAGTTTAGGAGTCATTTGCATTACAGTGTATGATTTTTTGCATATTTCTCACATCAACTAATTCTTAGTATCACCATATTCAGTGCTGGCTAGGGATATTTTAGATAAAGGATTTTTTAGATAAAGGAAATGCAGTGGATCTAATCTACCTTGATTTTAGTAAGGCATTTGATACAGTACCACATGGGGACTTATTGGGTAAATTGGAAAAGAAGCGGATCAATATGAAAATTGAGAGGTGGATAAGCAACTGGTTAAAGGGGAGAATACAGCGGGTCACAATAGATTGCACCCTCAGCAAGTTTGCAGATGACACTAAGCTAGGGGGAGAGGTAGATACGCTTAAGGGCAGAGATAGGGTCCAGAGTGACTTAGACAAATTGGAGGATTGGGCCACTAGAAATCTCATGAGATTCAACAAAGACAAGTGTAGAGTCCTGCACTTGGGACGGAAGAATCCCAAGCATAGTTACAGGCTGGGGACCAACCAGTTAAGTAGTAGTTCTGCAGAAAAGGACCTGGGGGTTACAGTGGATGAGAAGCTAGATATGAGTCAACAGTGTGCCCTTGTAGCCAAGAAGGCTAATGGCATATTAGGATGCATTAAGAGGAGCATTGCCAGCAGATCCAGAGATGTCATTATTCCCCTTTATTCGGCTTTGGTGAGGCCACATCTGGAGTACTGTGTCCAGTTCTGGGCCCCCCACTACAAAAAGGATGCGGACGCATTGGAGAGGGTCCAGCGGAGGGCAACCAAAATGATTAGGGGTCTGGAGCATATGACCTACGAGGAGAGGCTGAGGGACTTGGGTCTGTTTAGTCTGCAGAAGCGAAGAGTGAGGGGGGACTTGATAGCAGCCTTCAACTTCCTGAAGGGAGGTTCCAAAGAGGATGGAGAGAGGCTGTTCTCAGTAGTGACAGATGGCAGAACAAGGAGCAATGGTCTCAAGTTGTGGTGGGAGAGGG